TACATGGACTACACCTGTTGACAACGTCTATTGCCAACTCCTATTGCCTACCACTACGACGAGGACCAGTTCATTACGGTTATCTGCTAGATTGTCTTACTCGGTTACAGTAGTATAAAACCACTTTGCTACTTAGAACAAATATATCCCTTTCCGGACATCAGTAGCACATAAGAACATCAACAATTCCTGTTGTAGTTGGAGCCCTAGCATTGACTGGAAAAGATTCCAGTACTAATTGAAGGGATTCCCGGAAGTACAAGCCTCAAAGAGATACAAAAAATTGTTCTGACAAGTACAGCCCACACTTTTTGAAGGGTTTTATCTATGTATTTTTTTTTTGTCAGTGGAAAGTGTCATGATGCCATTTCTAAACTTAGGCCCCTGGGCGGGACCCGGAAAGTAATGTGTAAACGCCAGAAATGAAAGGAAATAACAACAACAACAATAATAATAATAATAATGCAACTGACCACATACAGAAACGATAGCAAGATAACCCTCTTCATGGTCAATATTCAACCCGTACCAAACAAGCGGATATAGAGAAACCTTGTACCCAACATGGGCTATGTCATGCAGGGTTAAAAGCTAAAACCGAAGGTTTTATTCTTGCTGCCCAGGACCAACGCTTGTTCAATAGAAAATATCAAACACACATACTAAAAAATTGTGTTAGCCCAAAATGCAGGTTCTGTGATAAATATTCAGAAATAATTGACCATATTGCATCAGGTTGCACGGAATTGGCACTCACTGAACATAGAAACCGGTATGACAGGGTGTGCCAATATCTGCATTGGAAAATATGCAACTTTTATGAAAAGGAAATTACAAAAAGCTAATATGAAAATCACCCAGATCCGGTTGAAGACATAGGACCTGTAACAATTTGATGGGACTTTACAATAGACACACAGACAGAACAATCAAATCTAATCGGCCAGACTTTGTGATTAGTTACTGCAAAGACAAAATGTGCCTCCTTATTGTTATGGCAGCCCCTGCAGACTGCAATGTACCGTTGAAGATCTTCAAAGAACTATAAAATGCAAGAACTTTGAAATCGAAATCTCAAAAATGTCGCATATGAGAACATCAACAATTCCAGTTGTAATTGGAGCCCTTGGATTTATTGGAAAAGATTCCAGTAGACTCATTGAAGGGATTCCTAGAATCCCATGCCCCAAAGAAATACAAAAAAAATGTTCTCACAAGTGCAGCCCACACTTTGCGAAGGGCTTTATCTATGTAATATTTTTGGCAGTGGAAAGTGTCATGATTCCATTTCAACCTTAGGTCTCTGGACGGGACCCGGAAAGGAATGTGTAAACGCCAGAAATCAAAGAAAATAAAAACAAAATTAAAAATAATAAAAGTAATAAGCGACTACTAATGAAAACGACTAATGAAAGAAGTAAGCGTATATAATCATAATAATGAAAGAATTAAACGGCTTTATTCCGTAATAAATGAAGCCAACAAGTTCAAAATAGAGTTTCAAACGGCCGAACAAATGTAAGTAAAGCATAATACATCGACTGAAGTTTCAAAATACTTCAAAAATAAAACAAAAGCAAATGCAACCGACCAGATACAGAAACGATGGCAAGATAAATCGCTTCACGGCCAATACTTTGCTCGTACCAAACAAGCAGATGTAGACAAGCCCTGCACCTAACAGTGGCTACGTAGTGCAGGGTTGAAAGATGAAACTGAAGGTTTTATCCTTGTTGCACAGAACCCATGCTTGTTAAATAGAAATTATCAAGCACACATACTGAAAAATTGTGTTAGCCCAAAATGCAGATTCTAAGATAAATATCAAGTAACAATTACCCATCTTGTATCAGGTTGCACGATATTGGCACCCACTGAATATAAAACCCGGCATGATAGAGTGGGCCAATATCTGCACTAGAAAATCTACAACTTCTGTAGAAAAAAAACTGAAAGAAACTGGTATGAACACCAGCCAGACCCGGTTACGGAGATAGGACCTGTTACAATTTTATGGGACTACACAATACACACTGACAGAACAATCAAAGCCAACCGCCCAGGTATTGTTATTAGAGATCGGACAGAAAAAACCACAAACAAAAAACGTGCCTCCTTATTGATATGGCAGTCCCTGCAGACTGCAATGTATCTTTGAAGATCTTAAAGAAGAAGGATCTTGCAATCGAAATCTCAAAAATGTAGCACATGAGAACATTAACAATTCTTCTTTAGTTGAAACCGTTTCATTGATTGGAAAAGATTCCAATAGACTCGTTGAAGGGATTCCTGGAAGCCCATGCCTCAAAGAAATACAAAAATTTTGTTCTCACAAGTGCAGTCCACACATTACGAAGGACCTTATCTGTGTAAAATATGCGTGTTTTTTTTTTAATTTATCGGTGGAAAATGTCATGATGCTATTTCTGACTTTAAGCTTCTGTGCGTGACCCGGAAGGAAATGCGTACACACGACAAATCCAAGGGAATAATAATAATAATAATAATAATAATAATAATAAGTGAATAAAAACTATATGAACTGATGGTTACAACTGCCCACTAATTACTGAAGTGATCAGAATCGTTTCCTCTGTCCTGGGTAAGACGATAAACTACGTCCACCAGCAAGGTTTTGAGGGGCGTGGAACCACTTCTTAATTGCTGGTGTTCCCAGGTCCACCCTGACCCGGGGTGGTAGCACCTGTTAGGGTCCCAGCTATGGCAAGTAGTTAACTATTACATGCAATATTTTTTTGAAAAAAATTATTACCAGAAATACAATTTTGAATGAAAAATATTACCAGATTTTGACAAAACAAAATATTACCAGCAATAGAAAATTCTGTCGACATTAAATAACGCATTAAGGTTGATATACCGTAAAACAAAATAAACCAAACTAAACCAAGAAGCGTTTCCCAATCTGACATAGAAAGAAGCAGGTAGTAGTTTTGAAAAAATAATTGAAATCAGATTGAGGCAAAAGACAGTACAATAACAGACAACGAAAATCCATTAATTGTACCATGAACAACTCCAATATATAATACTTCGATATAATGATTTGTTGGAATTTGGCGTTTAGCGGTAATCGCCAATTGACTGTGGTGTGAAAGCCTAACGAATTGATAATAATTTCGAACAGAATTTAAACATGATTGACTAATATCAGAATATCGATTATAATGGGAATGCAAAGAAGTGTATACTCATTGCAGATACTATCTTATTTTAGGTGACATATTCTTTCAAGAAGTAGTTGATCATGGCTCTCTACAACTTCTTGTTTTTTTGTTGCTCTATTTAACGTTTGACTCCTTGCCATACCTATTTGCTCCTTTACTACAATTCAGGCATAGAAAATTTGTCAAGTTGGTTGTTTGTTTTCATCCAATGCATCTCTGTATACGTTCGGTAATTGTTACATTTTTCTAAACCCTGTTTCTTCATTATGTGTCTCAGACATTTCAGATGTCACTTCCGGATTGCATGTATACTTTTACTTGTCGTTTCTATTCTAATAACCACCTCGTTACTAACATTATCTATCGATGTTATTCTAAGCTTACGAGTATCGTTCAAAATTTCTAAGCCTTACCAAGACAAACAAGACAGTTTTTCACTATAGCCCCCTCCTTAACATCAGTACACTTGGTCCAATGATGTTTACGAGTGTTGTTGAAATTGTAAGCCTTATCTAGAAGGAGTTGGAGAAACAAGACAGTTCTTCATTCTTTTACAATATCATTCCCCTTGTCATCAGTACACTTGGTGCAACGATGTTTAAGAGGGAGGTTCAAAAAGTTCGATGTCTCACTAGGTAGTTAAATTGTTCGAATTCAGAATTTAGACTTTCACCGTTTGAAATTATTTTGAATGGAAAAATCTGCAGGAAAAATAAAATAAACTCATCAAAATATAACACACACAAAAACACAACGCACAGAAATATATATATATATATATATATATATATATATATATATATATATATATATATGAATCACGTGATCGTACAGGCAACAAAGGTGACAATGTTGGGTCTTAAAGGAAATTAAAAGTAGAAAAAAACAAACAAAAAATAAAAAAACCCAGATTTTCCCTGATAATCTTGATAAAAAAGAGAGATGACAAAAGAAAACTTTGCCCGGTTTCTACATTTCATCAAATACAGTCACACGACTTAAGAATAAAAGTTAAGTAAATATTTTTAAATATCCCTTTCTAGACTCGTTATTTCAACAATAGCAAAGAAATTATGAATCACAGTTAGAAGACTGACCCCCCCTCCCCACCGGACATATTACGAAAGATGATTCAATTTTGTATTTTGAGAGACGGAACTAGTTTTGTAAGGATATCTGTCTGTCTGTCTGTCTGTCTGTCTATCTATCTATCTATCTATCTATCTATCTATCTCCGTCTGCTCATATGTATGTATGCATGCATCTATTTATCTATCTATTTATCTATCTATCTCCGTCTTCTCATATGTATGCATGTATGTATGTATCTATCTATCTCAGTCTGTTTATCTATCTATCTATCTATCTATCTATCTATCTATCTATCTATCTATCACAGTCTGCTGATATCTATCTATCTATCTATCTATCTATCTATCTATCTATCTATCTATCTATCACAGTCTACTGATATCTATCTATCTATCTATCTATCTATCTATCTCCGTCTGATCATTTGTATGTATGTATGTATCTAGCTAGCTATCTAGCTATCTCAGTCTGACCATAGCTATCTATCGCAGTCTGCTCATATCTATCTATCTATCTATCTATCTATCTATCTATCTATCTATCTATCTATCTATTTTTGTTTATACCTATCTATGGTACCCTATCGCATCCCAACAACACTTTATATTCTCCCCCCGTTAGGTGTTCAAGCCTATCTTTTCTTTCCCCCTATTTGACTTACTCTATTAACTCATCCAATCTATTTACTACTAAGATTCCCTGTTCTTCCTCTATCAGCATCTACATCCTTCCAACCCCTAATCTTATTTCTTCACCTTTATGCAAGTTTCCTTCATCACTTTCCCACTTCACCAAAACGCCGCAGCCACTGTCATTTTCGCGCCATTTTTCTTCTTTACCATTTTCGAGGAAGCCATCTTGTTCGCTTGATCGCGTCGTCTTATTATTAATCGCCGAGCAATTGTTGTATGTTCCGCTTCCACCTCTGTCGCAGCCAATCTGTTCGAGATTATTATTTTCATGGTCCAAATAAGAAAAGAACCCCGTGGTGTAATCCTGCATTGAACGAAAAAGATGGAAAAAGGACAAGGAAGATTGGTATTTGTTGAGCTGTGAATAAAAGATTTCGGTAGGGTGTTTTGCGAGTGGAAGGATGATTGACGAATATGTTGATAGCTGGTTTAGGGTTGGGATTAAATTAGAAAGAAAGAAAGAAAGAAAGAAAGAAAGAAAGAAAGAAAGAAAGAAAAAAAGAAAGAAAGAAAGAAAAAAGAATACTATAATGTTGAGGAATGAAGGAATGAAGGAATAAAGGAAAAAGTAAAGAAAGATGGAAGAAAAGATTGTAGATAAAAAGAGGGGCAATTTAAATGGAAATAATAGAAAAGAAAGAAAGAAAGAAAGAAAGAAAGAAAGAAAGAAGAACGGGGCACAAAAATGTTGAAGACGGAAGGAAGGAGGAAGAAAAAAGAAAGAAAGAAAGAAAGAAAGAAAGAAAGAAAGAAAAGGAGGAAAATTGGAAAAGACAGGTGAGTGGAAGAAAGAAATAAAGAAATAATTGAATGAAAAAAGATTAAAAAGAAAAGGCATGTGGGTGAAAGAAAGAAAGAAAGAAAGAAAGAAAGAAAGAATGAAGATTGAAGACAAACAGAGAAAGCAACTGAAATGGAAGTAATTGAAATTAAAGAAAAAAAGACAGAAAGATAAAAGGAAGAAGAGATTGTAGATAAAGAGAGTAAGCAATTAAAATGGAAATAATTGAAAAGAAAGAAAGAAAGATGAACAGAAGACAATAATGTCGAAGAATGGATGAAGGAAGAAAGAAAGAAAGAAAGAAAGAAAGAAAGAACGAAAGAAAGAATACAATGATTACTAAGAAAACATAGAACGGAAGTTAGTCTAAAAAGATATAAAAAATAGAAAAGAAGTAAACGAGAAAAAGGCGAAAATGATAAAAAAAAATGGAAACAGAAAGAAAGAAAAAAGCAAGAATACAAGTGAGATTTTATTTATTGATAATAAACGTAATTGAGATGAAAAGAAAGAGAAAAAGAATATAGCAAGGCCGAAGAATGGATTTAAAGAAGGAAAGAAAGTTTGTATATAAAGAGAGGAAGCAACTGAAATGAATGAAATAAACGAAAGGCGTTTACTGAGCGTAGCTTACATGTGGCACAAGAAAAAAATCTTGGAGCACCCAGTGGGAATCAAACCCACTAATCGTTCATAATGGATCTAGAGAGATTGGCCTGCCAAACATTACACCACGTCAAAGCATCTTAGAAAGAAAGGAGGAAGAACAGAAACATATATAATGTTGAATAATGGATGGAGGGTGGCAAGAAAGAAAGAAGGAAAGAAAGACTGTCTATAAAGAGAGGAGGCAATTGAAATGGAAGGAATTGAAACAAAAAGAAAGAAAGAAAGAAAGAAGACAATGATATCAAAGAAGGATGAAGGAAAAAGGAAAGAAAGAAGACAATAATATATGTAAAGAGAGGACGCGAACTGAAATGGAAGTAATTGAAATGAAATAAATAAAAAATAAATAAAGAAGAACATAATACAATAATCTCGATGAATGAATGAATTAATGAATGAAGGAGAGAAAGAATCAAGGAAAAAATATTGTACATAACGAAGAGAAGTGACTGAAATGAAAGAAAGAAAAAAGAAAGAATGAAGAAAAGTAAAAAGAAAAAAAACAAGAACAGAATACAATGATGTCGAAGAATGAACGAAGGAAGGAAAGAAGGAAAGAAAGAGAGAAGGAAGAGAAGATTATATATATATATATATATATATATATATATATATATATAGAGAGAGAGAGAGAGAGAGAGAGAGAGAGAGAGAGAGAGAGAGGATGCAATTGAAATGAATAAAAGAAAATTAATAAAAAAGAAAGAAAGACCAAAAATGTAAGAAAGTATCATATGAGGAAAACGGAAGAAAAGTTAGTATAAAAAAGAATGAACAAGAACGAGTTGAAATAAGGAAAATAGTAGAAAGAAATGTAATAAAAAAGCAAAATAAGAAAAAAGATTAAAAAATGAAAGAAAGAGAGATGGACAGAAAAGAAAAACAGAAAAGCAAAAGTAGAAATAAAAATAAAACTCCTGAAGAAAATAAAAAAAAAAAAAAAAAACTGATGAAAATTAACAGAAAATCAATGAAAGAAAACTGTTTGGGTAAAAAGTAGAATATAAGAACATAAGTTTATAGGAATATAAGAATATAGGATTATAGAATATAGGAATATAAGAATTAGGTAAAAATAAATAAAATCCCAAAGAACACACAGGAAGAAATAAAGAATATAAATACATTCCCCCCAAAAAAAAACAAAAAAAAAACATAATTACTAAAAGAGAAAAAAGGCAAACTGAATTGTCATTCGAAGAATGCACAGAATAGAATTTGTAAATAATTAATATTCATCTACATGTTCCAGAATTTGGACATGGTGCCTCAAATCATCTGGCTTTGTGGGTGCTTCGTAACCTGAATTGTATACTTTTCATCAAATTTCTTCCCAGGGGGTATACTCACAAACACGCAAACAGGTAAGTCTGTAACAATGACGAAATTATTTACATTATTCGCATTATTGTCCTCATCTTTGTCGCCATATTTATTACAACGTTTCGGTCGTTGTACACTCCGGCCTTCTTCAGGTGGTTGGAATTTCGAACTGAACCCTTTATTTCGATTACTGGGGTAGACTGTTCTAGTTCCACGTGCCATGTCTAATGGATGTCAGTTATCAGTTATCTCCTGTTAATTCCCACCCCCTCCAAGTTCTCCACTGGCTTAACCGGGTATTGAACTCACACTCTTTGTGTTCTGTCACTGGATCTAACTGACTCCTTTATCCACTGTGCCATGTGTCCTTAAATCAAAGTTCTATAGATTGGCCCGGAAACTCTCCTGATTTAAATCCAATCGAAAATCTGTGGTCAATCTGCAAGGAACGACTTCGTGGAATGTACAAACGAAGTCCTAACATGTGCACTGGGTCATGTTTCATTGGAAAAATACGAAAAAAAAGTAAATAACGTAATTATTCGTTTTGTTTCAATTAATTTGCACACGGGTGTATTTTACGGATGTAGATTGTTCAGGTTCTGCAAATCATGTCTTGGTACATAGTGTTTTATTCTTATTTAGTACTACTCAGTTGTACCCAAATGGGGTGCCCATGCCGATACCAAAGCCCTATCCCTTTGCTGCTCCACAGCACAAGATACCACCGGTCACCAGTGTGGAGCAGATCATCACACGCAAAGAAAACTAACCCTGCCCTAAACACCTCTTGCAGTTCGACCACTGTGTGCCTTAAGACAGCCAAAGTCGATGACCATTACTTGCTTAGTGGAATTTCACCCCTTTACATAAGAAGAACAGCCGATTGCCAGCTCGAAAAATCGAAGCAGGAAATTGATCTTCGTCATCCATTCCACGGCTGTGAACCAATGACCTTGCCTCAAGAGACAGAGTTTTACTCTCAGTCGAATCACTGAACAACAGAGCTGCTTGTCAGCACCTGTCCTTGTGGTGGAGCCCTATTAACAACTTTGAAACTCAGGCTCTTTCTTAGCCCTACAGAATCCCTCCTCATTGGCTCCAGTGCTGCCTGGCTCTTCTGTTTCCGCCTGAGGTCGCTGTAGAGCCATCCTTCAGAAATAGACATATGTCACCGATGTTGATCCCAACTGACAACGCGGGCAATCACAAACTACGGAATGTCTAGTTTGGTCTAATCTTGAGATCCATGTACACTTAACAACCTTGAAATCCTAACACCCCAGGCAATGCTCTGCGCGCAACACTGGATAGGTGTGATATACACAGGGAAATGAGAAGCATCCACTCTGAAGATTAAAGGGAAGTTTCATTTCGAAATTCCTTGAACGTTATACGAATCAAGAGACACCTGAACAAATCCGAGGTGATAAGCATATAAATTTGTAAATAATGAAAAATATGATCATTATGTAGAGTCTGTTTGACTGTTTGCTATATACAGTCGGAAAACCTCACTTAGAGCTCTCAAATAATTTATAAATACTTATTGAGCCCATGGGAAAAGTTTAACACAAAAATGTTCCTAATGAGAAAGATGAATAATAATTCTATCGTTTTTTCTGTTATGCAAAAATATTTTTATTAATATTTTCCATTTGGAACCGTTCTGTATAATACTATAATTGATGTTTTATTTATTATCATTTGATTAGATTCGATAACTTCTCCGACCCTCAGAGGTTTCGGCTGAGTGATTATAGTTTTATCTCAGCTCTTACCCGAAGCTTACAGTTTTCTTTAGTACATATTCCCGGTAACGCAGCCAATGTGCACTAAGAATGATATGAATTATCTCCAAGAGAGAAGGATTCCGGGAAATGGTTTCGAATACGCCAACCATAGAAAAGACAGCTTAGTATATTTCACTGATTTGATCAGTGACCTGCTCCGCCACCGCGATGTTCTAATCCCGAGGTACCGCAATGTCTATTAGGATCCATCCAGGGCTGCTTTTGGGAACAAATGTGATATCAGGGCGATTGTTCGCCAAGCGCTTGTCAGTTGAGATAGTTGTATCTCACATGAACGTTACTTGTTTATTCTCAGTTACTGAACGTCGTGAATGCTACTAATCCTTGTGTGTCGACTCGAAACCGGACATTTTGCACAGTTCCTGATATATTTTGAAGGCTACATTGTCGTAGACTCATCAGTAATGTTTTTGTACAAGTTCTGTGCATTCACTACCAACGTATTGTACTCTTATACTAGCTTCCTAACACATTCTGTACTAGGGTAATCCAGATGTCCTATCAATAGAGTACGATAATAAATATAAAACGAACTGGGGTCGCAAATTCACTGAGTCGCACTTCACTAATTCTCTCTTCCGGCTATCGGCCTTTTTCTTACCTAGACATGTTGACTACCAGGTGCGTTCGAAGGCAGATACGCTAATCAGTCGGCAGCACATACGGGATATTCTATCAACCGTTTTCTGCTATAAACGACGGTATCCTGGAACTAATGGCATTGGCAGGTACTCACCTTTAGCGTTTTTTGAAGGTAGGTGCATTTATTTTCCCAAGTATTTGATAGAATTTCTTCTTCTTCTTCTTCTTCTTCTTCTTCTTCTTCTTCTTCTAATAATAATAATAATAATAATAATAATAATTGCAATAATGATAAAAAATACAATATGTGCACTGGTAAAGATGATTGCAGAGTCATTAGGTTTATAAGTCCCAAAAATTCATGAACCAAAAATTGGAGAGTTGAGTTAGTGGGAAGAGAAATGATACGAGGATCTAGAACATTCTACCTCGATGGACGAAATAAAAGATTCGGTTCGAAATTCCAACCACCTGAAGAAGGCCGGAGCGTACAGCTGACGAAGAGTTGTGAATATGGCAATGAAGATGAGGGTAACGGTCCGAATAATGTAAATAATGCGAAAAATCGCTGTTGAAAGGAAAGGATTATCTGACCATGAACGAGACTAAAGGGAACACGATTAGCCAGCTGATGGCGATCCCTAAAGGGAACTTTGCACAATATATAAACAGATGAAGGGACGCTGCATAAAATGCATCAAGTACGAAATGAAATGAAACTGACGAAGGCGACATTTTATCGTTAATTAAACTGGGAAGTAATTAGAAATCGCAGTTAGAAATTAACAAATTTACAAAGGTAAACAGATGATTGTACTGATTTGAAAGACGTGGATTTATTTTAATTAATTATGTTTTTCTAACAGAAGTAATCATCTTCTGGCAAACAGTAGGTTAAGCCGGACTTTTTCCTTTATTTAGAATTAAACAAAGATGGCAAAGTGTGTACAATGTGGACAATTTGAACAAAAATAAAGATCTACTTCAGGTAAAGAATACATTTCCTAAAGTCGTTTAAACATATCTCCTTTAAATCGAATTCGTGAAATCCAAAGATGGAACAGAAAGACGAACTGGTCGATTTTAATAAAAATAAAAGATGAGTTAGGAGTGGAAGGCTACTGACTTTTAGAAAATAATTAATATCTAGTGTAACCACAATACCATCGAAAACAAAGCAACATTCTAACATATTCTTCAGTAAAAGCTCGTATAGACTTCATTATAATGTCTGCCTTGTTCATACTAATCTAATAAAATTAAAATACACAAAATTTCATATACAGTAGAATCCCTGACAACCGGACTAAGAAGGCCTTCCGGCTATGAGAAATTGCTTACAAAGTCCGGATATGAGGGGTTATATTTAGATTAAAATAAAAGAACTGAAATCAGATTGAAACATTTATTTTCAATGTTTTATAGTAAACAAAATAAGCTAATCGAGAGTGAAATCTAACGGAATTGATTTTAAGGAAAAAGAAATAAAGGCAAGGCCAAAAATTAGCCTCTTCGTATTAATAATATGGAAGACCAATAGTATGTTACGTGCTGTAACCTAGAGAAGGTTATTGAATAGAATAATCAGGCGAAGGTTGGTAATGAACGATAATATTTATTCAACATATGTTTTATTCGCCAGTCATATTTTAAGTAATCTGCCAACTTGTAGCCGAGTCAAGTGAATTCAACAATGAATCTTCAACTGCAGGATATATACCAACCGCCTCACGGAGTCAGATGTGATACAGGGCCGAATTTAGTGTGGGGTATCCGAGCCCGTAGGCTCGGCTAAAAATTCCTTGTCAACCCCGTAGAAAACGGGGTCAGGTAGCTGTTTCTTGAGACATAGCCTCGTCTAGGGATCCTGTGTGGCCGGAATCAGAGAGTTTGACTGGCACAGCTGGAGATGAATCTCCGACTGCAGACCAACATACAGTATTTACTATTGTATTTATGTGAATGGGGACATATCCATTAGAGTCAGTAGGTAATCTACAACATTATGGTAGACCAATATTAGAGTTAGCTAAAATTTTCGTTTGGTTGCTTAATTAAAAACCAAACAATATTTTCTTTTAGATATTAACTAATGAATAATTTCCCACTCTACAACCACTTTCCCACAAACGAAATAACCCTGGCTTCTCGCGACTCTTTCACAATTTCCATGGAAGGTTTTCTGACGAACTACATTACTTAGTTCCACTAGTCTCCTATGACACTCCATACCACTCACATTGTAGCGAACCAGCATTTTCCCCTTCGTATTCCATTGGTGACAAGTAAATACCACATGAGTAGCTACTCCCACAATTGCTGCTTTGTGGAACCGACTCCCAAGAGGATATTTTCATGACACTCTTAACCTGTTCAAGTCTAGGGTTAACCGTTGTCTTTCCTACATAAACTGTTCCTCTTATTCTGTAACCCTCTATCTCGACTGGCTCTTAAGCCTTGTACAGAAGAACATTTTTAAACAAAGATAGCTACTGTTTAATTCCATTATATTCTACATTCTTTCAGGCATTTTATGATTCCACCTCGAAAGTTTTTTTTCCAGTGCAAAGAAATTCTCTTTGCAATCTTTTAATCCTTCTTGCTTCATTTATCTAATTGATAGGACCATTTGTTTGAATCAAGTAACTTCTTTGGAATTATGGTAAAATATATGATTCGTTTAATGCCACCATATTTATGCAGCATCTGGTTGATCTGCGACATTTGGAAGGTTTAGTTGTGCTTAAACTGGTTGCCCCACAATATTTTGCGTTTCACGTTGTTATAAAATATTCACTTTTCATCGATGTTCAGATGTCTTTTAAAAACGATAAAATGTCGTTATGCATGAGCAAAAAATCGTATATGAAAATTTGCTTCAATAGTTGCTTTTGTTTATTTAGCTTATATGAAAGCCACACATCAAAGCGACTAGCATAGCCAATCTTGTTTAAAAGATTTTAAATGCTAGATTTGGATATATCAACCGGCTTGATTGGAATATATCAATCTCAGTTAACGCTTTTCGTTATTAGGCATCAACACGAAAATTTGCCAACAAACATTTGACACATTTTAATATTCACAATAAGTTCTTTAAATATCTTGCCTTTCAGTCGAATATTTACCTTTTTAAAATAAAAAAAAAAACAATTTTAAGGATATCCATATAATTGTTATCGGTTCGGAAAGAGAAACCAGTCAGCTCTAAATTCATAGCATGTATGTGGCCTTCGCGAGGTATATTCCACTACGCAGTAATTAAAACAAATATGGCTTTCACAATTAACTACAACGTGGCGTTGTCGACTCCGATGTCAACTCAGGTTTAATGAAAGATATAATTATTCTGAATAATTAAAGAAAAATCCTTCTGATATGCACGCAAGTAGAATAAAATCTAAACTGATATTTTTGAATTAATTTACTTAAAACTGGGCGCTACTAATGTTATCAAACAGCAAATAAAAAAAAACGAATTTATTGGCAAATTCTAGCATTTGTTTTTTTTTTCAGAATCATTTATTCTTGGTTCCGTTTGCCATCATCAAAATATTTTACTCGGATTTCAGTATTTTCACTGACTTTATTCTCAATTCTTCATCAGTCATCGAAGAACACTTCTGGTTTTATTTACACTATCTACATTGTTTCGGCCGTTGTACGCTCCGGCCTTCTTCACGTGATGTACATTGGAATTTCGAACCGAACCCTTTATTTCGTTTACTGTGGTAGATTGCTCTAGTTCCACACGCCATGCTTCTTCTGGTCATCTCTCATCAAATCATTACCGAACACATTCTTTATCCCTCGATTAGTTTTCACGGATGAATTTCCAGGTTTCACGCCATGTCTTTTCTGGATATCTCAGTTTTAGTTATTTTCCTCTCTCAGTTTTTTGTTCCCCTCTGCCGTGGCCAAATTGGGCGAAGAGTTGTGAGTTCAAAACTTGGCCACAGCAGAGGTGAACAAAAAACTGGAGAGTTGATTTACTAAAAGGGAAATAACGGAAACAGAGATATCCAGAAAAGGCATGGCACGTGGAACTAGAACAATCTATCCCAGTGAATGAAATAAAGTGTTCGGTTCGAAATTCCAACGTATATAGGCTGAAGAACGCCGGATTGTACCACGGTCAAAACTTCGTGAATATGACAATAAAGATGAAGAGAACAGTCCAAGCAATGTAAATAGTATGTAAATAGTTACAATGCCTTTTCTCGGAAATATAGACAGGTCCTGAAGAAGGCCGGAGGGTACAAAGGTCGAAACGTCGTGAATATGGCAATAATGATGTGGACAACAGTGCGAACAATGTAAATAGTGTAAATTTTTACAATACCTCATCACAGAAATATAGACATCTGTTAATGTTTCGACAGATTTATCGAGGAATTGTTTTGTCTTCGACGTTTTATAACAACTGATCTGGCAAGAAGCAAAACAAATAATTTTATGAAGATGAGGAGTGTGGCGAATGCGCCACAGGTCGAATAAATTCTGATCCCTATGATTGCTACTTGCATTTGCAGTTTGCTCCCGGTGATTTTAAGGAAACAAAATCAGCGATTGATTTTCTAGTATCGAAAAAAAAAAATTCTTCTCATCCGATGCGTCATTCAAACAAGCAAGTTGCTCACTATATACTTTGTTCAAATTAAGCCAGTTGCTATAATATAATTTACATTAAAAGCAATCAAATACAAAACCATTTTTCCGAATGGATCTACTTTAATTCTCTTCATTTTGATTTGCCGGAATAAATTCATTTATTTTTCATTGACTTCAGAGTTTATCGTACTGAGAAATTGCTTTCTTTAGTCAAATGAACAACTAATATTATGAATCTCGAACAAACTATCAGGTCATCCCATAAGTTCTGTCCGAATTTTGAATAAAGAAAACAATTGACCAAATGTTACATTTAATTACAGATTCAATCAACAATGTATTTTCCCTGATTATAGATGACTTCCTTCCATCTATTAACAAGCTTACTAATTCCATTACTGTAAAATTCTTTGGGC